CCTTATAATCCTACATTGCCAACCCTCCAATATCTGGCATAGAAGTATCTTATGCAAATTCAGATTTCAAAGTATAAATCCCATGGAAATTATGGATGCAGCTGCGTTCAGAGGGCACAAACACGCAGAAACAATGGAAATGATGATGAAAGCGATAAGCAATGAATATGTTAACCAGACCTCTTCAATTGCAGAAGTATGTTCCTCTAGCCGCAAATCATGAAGCTTAGGAAGAGCATTTGCAGCACATTTTCTAACAAAAACAGAAGGATCTCTTGCACACTTCCCCACAGCAACAAGAACAAGAGGTGCAATTACATGAAGCCTTATACCAGCCATGGCACGAAGTGCCCATGCCCTCACCAGTGGGTTTGGGTCACCGAGGTCCTTCTGGAAACAATTAATTGATAGCAATGCTTCATTTGGACGCCTAAATCATTAAAAAGATGAAAGAATAAAAGCACTATCAGTGAGAGTAACTCATCATGTGCGGAAACCGAGTATAGAATGCCAAGAGTCAGGAAATAAAGCATGTACTGACTTCTAAATGCATAATTATAAAATATGACCATGACCAGCTTACTGCAGCTACATACTTTTCAGCATAATGCAGGAGGTACAAGTAGACCAGCTTCTTCACTTCAAAGATTGAGATGCAACATTTTAACAACCTGCAATCTCATTTGATAATGGAAAGAGAAAATATGGAAAACAGATGAGTACATGTTAGGTAGAAAAATCTTCGAACTAGTTTAAGTCATAGAACTAAATCGTTTTCTAGACGAACTGTAACTACAAGTAACCACTGAAAATTGTTCCCCATAAAATTTCGATGGCGAAATGAAGTTCGTATCCGGTGATTTTGTTACACCATGAATGAAGTACAAATCGAGCACCGCAAATCAACATATAGGTTAAGAAGCTGACAAATAATGATAAGCTGCAACACAAAATGAAATTGATTTCTTTACACTTACGTGAGGGAAGAAGTTGGCGACATCGAAGCCCTGGGCGATGAGGGCAAGCAATCGCTTAAGAGCTTCGCATTTCTCAGAATCGAACTTGCTGTCGAGTAGGGGAGCAATACTGACATCTTCGGGATCGTCGTAGAGATGGGCGTCTGTACCGATCCGGAACACCAACGTGGACGCTTTACTCAAAGATTCCGCCGTCGCCCCAAACTGTGGGAACATATTTTGGGAAGAATTTTTCCTGTCGCAACTCTTCTCTGATCCTCTACTAACTGAATTTGGAGCGAAGTTGGGAGTGCTTGGATGCCGAGAAAAGAGTAGATCGAACACTGGAAAATACCTTCGCTGGAATTGCCCCTTTGTCCCCACCTCCAGACCATCTTCATGGAAAAAACTTGTCACCGTACTTATACTGAGTCATCATCCACCTCATCAACCTAACAATCATCAGTACTAATTATAAGATTTTATTTGTAATCTCTGCAAATAATATCTTATAATTAAAAATGGTTAACAAGACTGATATTTAAAATGGACTGAAAGAAGTATATGGACGTGATTTTGTTTTTTTTTTCCCAAGAATGTCTCCTATTCTAATTCTTAAAATTTGTTATTTCACCTCTTTGAACATTTGGGCCAATAGAACTTTTTGTCTCCACTGTTACATCAAATATTATTATATCATGATTTTGAAAATGATTTTACAATATACGAAATAAATATATAAAAGAGTTTATCTCATTTTGTGAAAAAATACTTTTAATATGGATTAAACCAAACAATCCCAACAAAGTATAGTGTATGCTTGAACTTGGATGTACATGTGAAGTTACATATGCACGAGATAAGATATAATAATTATATTATTTTTGGTCTTTAGTACTATCTTCGATCCTAATTATAAGAGCTGGTTGACTAATTTGAGGAGATTAAGGAAATAAGTTAAATTAATTATTTATAATAAATAGGTGTTATCTTTCCTAAAATATCCGTACTAATCAAGTTTATTGGTTAAAATTATTATTATTATTAAAGGGACTATCTTGGGAAAGAATATATAAATATGAGAGATAAAATGGATTGAAGTCTTATAATTAGGACCAAAATAAAAATCAAATGAGGTTTTATATTAAGGATCAGAGGTAGTATAAGAGTTAATTTAATTTTTAATTTGATTTAAATATAAATATAGTATAATTATACCCTTTTTTTTTCATCGGATAGTCTTTTTTCCCTTCTTTTGACAGATAGTATAATTCAGAGGCTTTTTTATCCAGACACGACAAACAGTAAAAATATTTACTCAGATGCTATAAGATCAAAAATATTTACTCAGATACTACACTTGAAATCGTTCAGACGGTGAACGAGTTTAAATTTGTACAGAAGTTGTTCAGGCCAAAAACGACTTCAGTGGGACCCACATCCAAAATATGAAAGTTGTTCTTGGTCTGAACAACTTCAGTGGGACCCACATCACAAAATGGAAGTTGTTCTTGGTCTGAACAACTTCAGTGGGACCCACTATTTGTCTTACACTCCATGCGTTTTCAGCTTTCATATTTTGACCAGACTATTTCTGCCTTTTCCAGCCCCACGTAAAGTGTTCCTTCCTTCCCCAAATATTCCCATCAATATAGAGTAGTCATTCCTTATCTCTCATGCGTGAGTACTTTATTTTTGCATGTGAGTGTATAGTATGAATTCTACTTATATAAGGCATTCGGCATTCTTTTTATTTAATTATTCCAAAATTATAACTAAAATTCTAAAATTATAAATAGAATATTATTATTTTTTATTTAATATATTTATATTTAATTAATTCTATTTAATAATTAATAATTAATATTAATTAGATATTAATATAGATTTATTAAAAATAATAGTATATTGAGGAAATTTCTAGATTTCACATCTAATTGAATTGTAGAAATATGATAATCTCCTCCAAGAATTTTTAGAAAAAAATGTCAGATTCACATTTTATTTTATCCTTAGTTTCTAGTCGAAAGCTAATAATGTATTCTTACTCATCATAAGCCTTCTCCTCACTTAACGGAGTGAAAGGGGCTTTTGTTTTGCATGTTTTGGGTTTTGCAATCAAACCCAGCTTTGTGTTACTTAGGGAATTTTTAGCAAAACGTTGCAAACAAGGAAAAAAAATCTTCAAATACTACATAGTGAGAATTATTTCCCCAAATGCTACACTCAAAGTTCTTCTTAGCTTAAACAACTTTAAAAGTTCATTTTAATGAGAGCAATTTCTTCGATAAACATTGGTTCCCATGCAGTTGAACTTCATCCTGGCTTGAACAACGTTTAAAATTCATCTCAGTAAGAGCAATTCCTCCAATAAACCTTGTCTTCCGTCTAGCTGAAATTCATCTTGGTGTGAACAACTTTTAAATTTCACCAGCATCTGAACAACTTCTTCACAGTCTCTCACCACATAAATATTCCTACAGGGATGTTAATAATGGTCATATCATTAGAACAATGAGTTAATAATTATATAATGATAGTAGTAATAATTAATATTATATTAATTAAAAAGTGATTAAAGAAAATAAGTAATGATTAAATGTTATAAAATTAAAAAAATTAAAAATTAAATTGACATGAACAAAAATAAGAATTAATTTACCTCACAAATAATGACTCCCCGTGCCACATCTTGGTCTCCTCCGCGCACGCTATGGCCGTTGTTATATTTACTTCTTGAGTTTGATCTAATGTCTCATTTGTCTGCGTAGTTGACGTATTTAAATCAAACCAAGGTGATTCGGCTAAAGAAATTGATTGTCAAGGGGTGACAAATGCTTCATTTGATGGACCACCTTGCTCAAAAGAAGAAGTGTTATATTGATCGATAAATAATGCAGGATCATCAAATAAGAACATGAATGACTGAAATTGAGGAGGATTGGGTGAGTCAGAATGGGATAATGTTGATGATGATGGCATGTGATGAGGGTAAAAATGAGTTGGATTGGAAGAGGTGATAGGCTTGATGAGACTGGTATGTTATCAAAATGACTAAAATTTTGAGGCTCTTGTTCACTTAAATTTTCATTTACAATTGGTGGCTGAGTAGACAAGTAACCGCCTCGCCGTTTGCTTAGTCTATCTCGAGGAATTTGTAGACGGGGTAGCTCAACTGGTGGTGGAGCTGGTTGAGAATTCATATTAAACCGTTGTTCTCTAACTGCAAGTAAGATGTTACGCTGGTCTCGAGCAACTCTTTCTCGATAATCAATGCAATCAGAGCATGTTGAACGAGAATTAATTGTTAGCCTATATAACTGTTCTGCTATGTCAGCCTGAAATAAATAAAACATTAGGTTTGAAAAAATTTTCATATAAAAGAAAATGATGATATTGATCAGAAAAAACTAAAAAAAACCTTACCACATAGCCAGTATCACCACTAAACGTTACATATTAAAATTTTATTATAAATTCTAATATATCAATATAAAATTAATAATATAAATTACATATTTCAAATATATTAAATAAATAATTTTCTATTCATTCCATTTTATTCAAAAATATTATAATTAAATATTATTAAAAAATTAGCTAAAATCATTACTTCTGTTTTATTATCAAAAAGGATCTTAAAAACTATAAATATTTAGAAGGATTAAATATATTTAAAAACATTAAATTCTCCCACAACTACATTCCTAAATTTTTTCTAACTTATGTTCCATTATTGGATATTTTTAATGACTAAATTAGATAAATATTTGATTAAATAAATTAATTTGAAAATATTTCTTATTCAAAAAAATTGCCTCTGCTTCATTTTTCTCCTGGTCCCAACTTCATACTTCAAATGTTCAATTTAATTTATCTATATTATTAAAGAATAATTATATTCCTTTCAACCTCTAATTTCTATATTGCGAATAAATGCTTTTGATGAGATATATACTTTAGTTAACACATAACGGTAAATTTACATTAAATAATAATAAGCTTATAATAAATGTACTTGTGTAATTTTATATTAGGTACCGTTTAAGTGACCCAAAAAAACATCCTTATGAATGAAACAAAAATAAATGTTAATAACTATTTCACACTAGTTATTTAAAAATTATAATTACTTAATATGACGAAACAATTAGCTATTACTCCTCTTTAATAAATATAGTTGAGTACTGTTGAGTGATTTTTTTAAATTTATAGTTTATTATTTGGTCTGCCTAAATAATTATAATTTTTAAGATCCTCTTTAATAAATATTGCTTTCTCTAGGTCCTCCTCTCTAATTTTTCCAAAAAAAAACTCATTTCTTTTATTATTATTAACCCCATCATCAGTACTCTTTTTATTAGGAAAATTTTGACACCATTTAGTGCTAGCTTTCATTGGCTAGATACAAGACTAGACTAAGCTCACAACCAGGGTTGTCAAACTCACGAGTTTAAGTAAACTCGTGACAGGTATGTAAACTTGAATTTATGAAATTCATACATGAAGTCACTATGCATAATCAAATAATAAATAATTATAAATTTAATAAAAATTATAACTTGGACCACTGATTTGGATTTTCAATATTTTAAAGGTTTTTATAGTTAAATAATTTAACTGTCTTCTATGCATGCTTTGATATAAATTTTACGTAATTTTAACAAAAATAATTTTATCATTGTATATTAAAATTTTATGAGTGAGGAATATTATTCCATCAATTTTTCTTTAAATATTCAAGTATTTTTCATGACGTATTGACTGGCATAGGAGAAGTTTGATTACCATGCTCACAACCAAATATTATCTAACTAAATACATATTTAATCTGACTACATATTTACTCAAACACTATCTACTAAAAAAAAAGATATATATTTAATCAGATTATAAAAAAGTAAACTGTAATTTATTTTATATCTACATTTTTTTAATTAAAACAAACTCAACATGTAAAAATGACTAAATATAAAATTCTTATCCATCATTTAGCAAAATACATATCAAAATTTTTAAAAAAATTAATCAAGAGAATGTACCTTAATCAGAAGAAAAATTAAGCCTCAAGTTGAGATAAAACGTATGCAATATTTGCAAGGCCACACACACCACCAACTTCACGTGAAATTGTGGAAAGAGAAAGAAGAACTGAAGGACCTGCAGATAAAATTCAATTCTTCACGCACAATGCCTTATATATAGAGAAAGAAGAATTGAATTGTATGAAGAATTGAAGTTGAGATAAAACGTATTTACCTACTTCACGGGAATGCCTTACACATAGAGAAAGAAGAATGTGAGAAGTGAAGAGAAGCCTTCTGATGAGTGGGAATGGCGAATACCTTATATAAATAGAATTCATACTATACACTCACATGCAAAAACAAAGTATTCATGCGTGAAAGACATTGAATGACTACTCTATATTGATGGGAATATTTGGAGAAGGAAGAAACACTTTGCGTGTAGCTGGAAAAGGCAGAAATAGTCTGGTCAAAATATGAAAGCTGAAAACACATGGAGTGTAAGACAAATAGTAGGTCCCACTGAAGTTGTTCAGACCAAGAACAACTTCCATTTTGTGATGTAGGTCCCACTGAAGTTGTTCAGACCAAGAACAATTTTCATATTTTGGATGTGGGTCCCACTGAAGTCGTTTTTGGCATGAACAACTTCTGTACAAATTTGAACTCGTTCACTGTCTGAACGATTTCAAGTGTAGTATCTGAGTAAATATTTTTGATCTTATAGCATCTGAGTAAATATTTTTACTGTTTGTCGTGTCTGGATAAAAAAGCCATAATTCAGATGAAGTTTTGTGGCAATTTTGTATTTATATTAAGCGACCCGGCGAAACCCTAGGAAGAGAAGACTAAGGAGGAAGTCCTATATATATAAGCGGCGCGGCGGCTGATGAGCAGAACATTTCTGGGGCTGTGATTACAAAGAGAGAGGCTTGAGTGGGTCTGGTTGGAGCTAGGGATGACTATACCCGGAGCCTGAAGGTGCCGCCGACTCTCTTCGCTGGAAGGGTCCGGCTTCGGTATCTCGGCCTCTGGTCTTCCCTTCTGTTCCAATTGAATTCTCCCACCATGACGGATCTTTCCATAATTTACACTTGATATGAGCCCTCGTTTCTTCTACCTCTAGGGGTTTCTGGATATTCGCACTGGCTGGTTCTTTTGTGAGAGAAAACACTTGATTAGGGTTTGTTTTCTTGTTGAATACAGTGCTGACAGAGAAAGCTTGATCGAAGCATTTGCTTTAGTTGCAGGAAACAGGTTTTGTTCAGCAGAAGAAAGCTGGTTACCTGTATAACTTAGTAGGTGTGTTTTGATCAAGCAGCGGCCAGACAACCGTAGGGATGGTATCCACAGACTATGGGTTTCTTCTCATTCGTCTACTGATTCCATCCCACATTTTTTTTTTCCACTTGTGGATTCGTGTTTGTTTATATAGTCCTTTTCTGTAATATAATTGGAAGTGGGACAAATTGCAATATTGTTAAGAAAATGATGAACCAATCTTATAGAAACTAAATGACAACCACGAAAAGAAATTGTGGAAGTGTAGAATTCTCAAGTTAAATAGTGTCATAAGTGTTGTCTGTATAACATTATATATATATATATATATATATATATTTTGAGCAAAATGTATAACATATATATTAATGATGGAAAACAGACACAGTTTCTAGTACTGTTTGCTTTTGGCAAAGCGAAGGGCCAAGGTAGTGTTTTTGGATGTGCCAAAGAATGTAAAGGAATAAGTAAGACTATTGTAGTGGGTAAAGTGGCAGAGTCATTGTTTCTGTGTTAATGTTAAATTAAGTTGATGATGATACGGAAGGGAATGAGATTTTGTCAAAGGAACAGAATCTAGATCTAAAGCTGCCAAGTAAGAATATGAGATTTAATTGTTGCTACGAGACTGTAGCCTCTCCTGATCTCAAGAAGCCATCTACTGTCTAAGCCCACGTTTCCTACAAATTATGCCAAATGCATTAAAGAAAAGTTTTGCTTGCCTTCTCGCCCTGATAAATTACTCTTCTCGTTCTAAATATCTTATATATAAGGGTGTTATACTTAGGATCGGAGTTTTTTTGGCCGGGACTCCGAGCTCTGTGTGAAGCATTTCAAAATTTTTCCCCCAGCAGTGAGGTGTTTCAAATTTACTAGACTAATAATCCAACGGCTGTGATGATCCTGGATTTGCAGGCAACGTTGCCACACCTGCGCAGAACTCAAGTACCCTGTTGTAGCGCTTCTGGGCCCAAATCCATTCCCAGAACTCCATCATATTAGCCCAACAAAAATGACTATTGACATCAAGAAATAAATTCCCACTAAGAAAAGTGTCAATATTTAGTATTTGATAATGTTTCAAATAAAATTGCATCTGATGATTCTAATAGGAGGGGTTAATTCTTTATAATATGATAAATTAATGTTTAAATTTTTATTAAGAGAGATATTCATATTTAATTATTTAGTATTTAATAGTGTCTCAAACAAAATTATTCCAAGGACACTTGTACCTAGAATGAAAAAAATTACTTCCCAATACTTATGCCTAAAAAGGAAAAAAAAAAACCCCACTCGTCCTGATGATGCTCTATAAACCATCTTGTGCTTAATAATGTGGATATGCCTTTTGATCGTTTTTTATAGTCCCCCCATCCTTATTCCTTAGTTATTAGTAACAAAAGCTACGGGAGAACCCTTACAACAAAAGGGGTTATCTTATTGGAGGATTACTCTCCTTATTCCGCTTGCATCTAAAATATTTCCACACCCAGTAATGAAAATGTCAAAAGATAACACTCTTCGGGTCTTCCCTGAATGACGGGCACTCAATTCGCGCAAGAGTTTGCATCTTTAATGTTTTGCCTGGTCAACTTTTCGGTGTATGGTGCGTCTTGCGGCGTCATATGCGACTAACCTTATGTACTTTTTCATATAATGAAATTGGCTATTCTTTTTTCTCTTTTTTTTTGTTTGAAGGTAGTAGCAAGTGATGATCTCAGTCTTGGCTTCTAAAAGGAAATACTTAAGATACGCTTACACTCTCCTTGTCCTATTTATAAGTCGTTTTTAATATGTTTCACAAAAACTTAAAAAAAAACATTAAATTTTATTAACTCTCATTTAAAATTCAACAACTTTTAAACTCTATTCTTATTTAATATACAGTATACCTCATGCAGACAAAATCAACACAATAATAAATTAAAGATGAAATTATACATATATACGAAAAATTTCTCTCAATGCCCTATAAATAGAACCAAAAAAATATCTCCTCTCAGTGCCCTATAAATGGAACAAAAATTTTTTTTTCTCTTTCTGCCTTATAAATAAGGCAAGAGAAGTATTTAAAGAATGTATCTATGCTTGAATTAGGAAAAATTAATCTTTTGGTCTCTCAACTTTTAACTCACTTATAACTCAATTCCTAAATTTTTTACTCGCTTATAACTCAGTCTTTTATCTTTTTATTTTTTAATATTATTGTCCTTATTATCTATAATCCACTTCTGAGTCATCCTACACAGCATTTGAGTTATCCTTGTCATTTATGATATGTTAAAATTGCTCCACCTTGGGTCGGCTTTTGTGAAAAAAGTCTGAAAACAAAAGAAGGAAGGGCTGTGGCAATTATGAAGATGGGAAAGACCCAAAAAGAGAGAGAGAGAGAGAGAAGTTGCAGGTATGAAAAAAGTCGAAGCTTGAAGAGGAAAACAAACCAGATCGGCTTTGTGAAAAATTACTCCACCTCAAATTCCATGCTGCCACAACAATGCTCCAAATTCATTTTCTCACCTTCTCTCGTACCTCACTCCACTTCAGTCTAACTCAAAGCCGCTATCTTCTTTTCTTATCATCGCTTCTTCTGCTTCGACTGGGTTTCACTTCAAGAGCAACGATAATGATCTGTGTAAAAATAAGCTTAAGTGTCTTTCTAGTTCTCTTTTTCTCATTTATCTTATTCTTCTATAATTGTGAATAGAAGCTAGGGAACTAAAGGTAGTTTTATCTTTTTAATATTAAATAATAGTTTAACTTAATATAAGGAGTCATGCGGTGGCTGAAAGAATAAACAAGGGGAATTGAAAATTAAAGAAAGGGATCAGGGAGAAGCCGCGGAAGAACAAAGGGAAAAGAGGGGAACCAAAGGAAAGCAACAACGAAGAGGAAAGGAAAAAGGGAGATCGAACAGACCATAGGTGAGAACGAATATCAGTAGACGAGATTGATGGTTCTTCCTCACATGATGTAAATTTTTAGCTAACTTAAAAAAGAGGTGGAGCTGAGGTGGACCAATTTTAACAATATCATATTTGACAAGGACAACTCAGATGCCATGTAGGATGACTCAAAAGAGAGTTATAGATGATACGGACAATAATATTAAAAAAAATAAAAAGATAAAGAACTGAATCACAAACGAGTTAAAAATTTAGAGACTAAGTCATATCAAATCATAATTAAAGTATTAAGTTATAAGTGAGTTGGAAATTGAAAGACCAAAAGATTAATTTTTCCCTTGACCTGTAACAAACATGACAAATATGCTCAGAATATTGCCATTGGGACACTAGTACTTTATCTAAACTTGACTAGTAAACCTCCGGCTCCCTCCCCCCGGGGGTTCTCTTTCATCTTTTTTCCCTCTTTTAACTTCCATTTTTACATTATCTTCATTAGCAATAAAACTCATTGTGAATCCTTTTGTTCCCCTCATGCAATCATTGAAGTGAAAATGACAAATAAGAGACCATTAATCAATACACAAACACATTCATTGAACTTAGAAGGAACTGAAGAGTAAATACAAATAAGAATGTACTAAAACTCACAGTCTCTCACATGTAAAAGCGCACAGCTGCGGGCGCAACACTTAGCAGCCAGCCACTTCAGCTTTCTCCTCGAAATTCACTTTCGCTTTACCCCAATCCCTCCCACTCCCAAGAAGAAAAAAACAAAGAACACACTAACAAGTCAAAAAGTTTCCACTCTGTCTCCACGTACTGCTACCTTTTTTTCCCTCTGCTCGCCGTTCCCGCGTATCCACATTCCAAAAGACAGAAAAACCAATTTTAAAAAGACACAAACAGGACTTTCTTCTACTTGTTTTGTTTTTTAATATAGGATTGTTGGCCGGGTAGTTCTGAGATCAGACCCTGAAGTTCTTTCCCGTGAATGTTTGGCCGAATTGCCAGTTGGAAGGGACGATGTTCCAGGAGGTGGAAGTCCGGCGGTCGCTGCCGGTGACCCTGAAGGACAGTGACTGGCCAGCCAGAACGGCGTTGGATTGCCAGTTCTGACCCCAATTACGGCTCATGCTCATCCACTCCGTCTTCGAACCCTTCACGGTCACCCTCACTATATCCCCTGCTCCGGCCACGTTCGTTATCAGAACCAGGTTGAAGTATTTGAACCCGTTTATCGTAAACCTTATCCCTCCGGCTTTCCGGCAAGGTACCCTGCACCCCCATCACACAATATCAGTCACTGAATCATAATCCATAACATAATGATGAAGTTGAATCATTGAGATATGAAACACTGCAAAAGTCATCATGGTAACAACAGACGAGGTACACAGTACGAGGCATCAGGATCGCAAGATAAAGATTCGAGATCGAGAGATGGTTTTGCTTATAATTTTGGTTGGCTCGGGATTCGTGTAATTACGCGGTGTGGGTTCGTCAAATACCTACGTCAGACTAGGACACGGCTGTGGGACACAAGGGAAGTGATTGCACTTCAACAAATCAACGGTTCAGCTTTTATCAAGAACAAAAAAAAAATGGTACGATTCCTGATCGGGTTTCCCATGACTGAACCAATCATCTACTATTTTCAATACTTTCAACTCCTTAACGCGCTATAGCAGAAGCAGAATCTTGCTGCAGTAAATTTCTCAGCTACTTTTTTACTTGTTCCACATCAATTGGAAATCTATATTAGGAAAAATGATTAAGAGAGCAAAATAGGTTGTTCATTTATTTAGATCCAGAAACAACATTAACAAACAGTGACAACGAGATAAAAGTAGGAATAGTGTTAGGGAAGTACCGGCGGTAAGAGACAGGGACGATGCCGGCGCGGTACTCGGCGATCTTGAGGAACATCGGCATGGCGAGGTCGAAGTGTGGCCGTGGGGGGTTGCACCAGCCGCCATTGTCGCTGGGAAGAGCATAGTTAGGCGGGCAAAAGTTGGTGGCCGTCACGAAGATCGACGGGCTGCCGGGATGGCACCATTGTGGCTCGCTTCCACACTTGATCTCGAAGCAAGCCCCACAGCTCAAGCCATTGTTGAACAGAGCTGTGCTCAGCGCCGCCGTGCTGACCCCATAGCCTTGGCTATACAAGTTTCCGTACCCACACGCCCCTCCTGCACATACAACGCAATTCGCAGAATTTTTAACTAATGGGTTTCACTTAATAGACAACTTGAGTAGTAAAGCTTAAAGCTTTTTCTCGTTTAGGTGAAGAAATGAAGTAAATACCCATGGTGCCGGAGGCGTCGCTGCCGCCATAGAAAGTAGCGTGAGCGTTCTGCCACTCTCCGCCTGTGTAGACGCCAGGAATTCTAGCGTCGGTGAGGGCCAGAGAAGCGATAAAGGAAACAATGGCGAAGAGAGTGGGAAGAGCCATTGGGGTCAATGCTAGCTCTTGGGATCGCAGAGAGTGAGAATGTGAATGAGCTTCTGAGGAGGAAAACAGAGGAAGTAGGGGCTATTTATGGAGGCAGGGGAGGGAAGAAAACTGGCAAAGTGATAATTTTTTATTTTTTTTAGCTAAAGAAAAGTGAAATTTTGAGGGACGCAATTATCATCCTTAATTAATGCTTCATTGTCTCCTTTACGCCGTAAACAACTTTTCCCACTGGGAAAAAAATAATTAATTTGTTTTGAGAAAATTACACTTAAAACCCTGAAGTAAATATTTATATTCAATAATTTTAAATTTCAACAGAGTCAATAACTCTTGTTGAATTGGCTATTTTATTAAGTTTATATTTCTCCAGTCCTAAATATCATATTCACGTAAATAAATTTTATATTTAGAACTGGAATAGTATTAACTATTAAGAATGATTATTATTAAATTATAAAGCATCAATATATCAGCACAAGCATTATATTATAACATTGTTTGATTATTATTATTATTATTGTTATTGTTGTTATAAACTAGTCTGTTCAAAATATAATGCACCACTCCATATAGAAAAAAAAATTATACCAAAAGGTTATTTATATTTTTATGACAATTACTAAAAAAATATAATATGTGAACCTGAATACATATATAGAACATAATGAATGCACATATACATTGTTTGTATGCATGTATTAATAAATTTCTATAGTCCATGTTCTTCTCTATTTATTATCCTTTTTCTTATGTCTCTGTTTATTTATAGGCGTGTGTGAGTGTTTTTTTTTGGGGGGGGGCTTGGGAAAATATCTTTGAAAAGACGTGTGTTAAAATATTTTTGTTTTCAAACTTATTTTGTAATTTCTTCATTTTCATCATGCGCATCAAAACTCGGTTTTTTTTTTTGGCCGTATAAGAAGGCTTTTAATTCTTGATTTCTCCTTACATTCCACATCATAGAGTTTGTCATTTGCGTACGCAAATATTAAAAAAAACGAAAACCTTAGAGTAATGCAGAATAAAATATTATTCCCTCTCTCATCTTGTTTTTATGGCTGAACCTCTCATCTTTGATATACTGATATTTATAATTAGATAAGTAGTTTACAAATACTGAAAAAAATTAATTATTTTAATTATTTTTGACAAATACATGTCGATTTATCTAAAATACTCTTTATAATCATGTGTATAGCAACATCTTTTGATGAAATTCTCTTACCACATGCAATGAATATGATACTTTGGTGAAAAAATTATAAATTAAAAAAACAAATTGGATTAAAATCTTATATTTAAAATTAAACCCAACTTATCGTCTAGCTCTTATGTTTTGGACTGAAAGTAGTGTTTTTATATATAAATACATGTAATTGTTATTATTGAGTAAAGTATATTTTTATTTTCAATACATATAAAAACATGGCAAGAAAAATTAAAATGCCTTCTCTTGAGTGCAGGGGACAAAAGAAGGATGGGGGACTGATGAAATCCCTTTGCTTCACATGCACGTTGTGCTTTGGAGTGACAAGTAATATCATAATAATAATAGTAATAATCAACTCCCATTTTTATTAATTCGGTTCTTTCTTTCTTTCTTTCCTTTTTCATCTTCTTGTTTTTCTTCGCTATTTCAAGTTAATCTTCTCGGCTTTTGTCGGAAAATAAATCCCCCTCATCTAAGAAGAGCCCCATACATAATTTGTACTTCTCCGGTCCTTAATATATGATCTAATTATTGAGTTGGTTTTGGTCCTAAATATAAAACCCATTTCTCATATTTATTAATTTTCTCTAAATTACCCTTATGAATACTTCCTCAACCATAATCAAATAGAAGAGGGGGATAAGGTATTAAAAAAGATAATTATGGTGTTTTAGAAAAAATGTGTCACATTTTTTATAATTAACTAACTTACTTAACTTCTTTAAACTAATCAAATTAGTTAAACAGGTCTTATATTAAGGACCGGATGAGCATAACTAATAACTACATATGTATAATTAATATATATATATATATATATATATATATATGGCACGAGAAAAAGATAGCACAAAATGTGGAGTTGGAAGCACTGAGGTGCAAATAGAGAAAGGGAACAAAATTAGTGCTAAAGTATGAATTTATGATAACCTTGGTTCGCCCCAAGGGCCAGAAAAAAGCAACAAAACATTGACCAAAATAGCTTTGAGATAAGAATATTATTATACAGGTTGTTAACTTTTTCTTCCTTTTTTTTTTTTTTGCCCCAACTCATTTCGATCGCCAATGAAACATATCCGGCTGTGGCTTCCACACGTATTCGATCACAACCCAAATGAACGAACCCAATTGAATTGAAGTTAAATAATAATGATAATATATATTGAAAATAATAAACGAAGTTATATATTCATTAGGAAATTATTGATGCGTGATTCTCATTTATATATGTCTGTGTCTTCCAATTTTGACTGCTAGTGAGGTAAAAAAAAGAAAGAAAAAGAATAGTAAGTCATATTCCGAAGACTTCGCAGTGAAACCCCATGCTCACGCATGAAAGTCACGATGCATCAAATTTGTTATTCTCGTCCTAATATGAATATTAATGGACGACCATAAAAGGGCATCTCTCTCACACACGCTGTCACAAATATGTAGTTTTTGGTCTTTACTGTAAAATCTAATTGACTAATTTGAAAAGATTAAGAATGTAATAAAATAAATTGATTATATATAGTATCTGTTATATGATCTTTCTAAAATACTTATGGTATCATTAGATTATATATCAGTTTATAAATTAGACAAATTAATTTAAAAATGATAAATAAATACTTTTAAAAAAAATTTAACGTTCTTAATTTTTCTGAATTAGTCAACTAGATATTATATTAAGAAAGAACCAAGAGCTTGCAAAGGACTCATGTCAAAGAGAACTTGCTTGATATCACCTTCACTCACATTGCTATTCATGAGATTTAATGTCAAAGCAGAGATCCTCAAGAAAGCAGGACTTGTCTTCACCCTGAGGACTTGCATCCATCTTGAGGCCTAAGGACCTGAAATAAGACCCTCCTAGAGGTAACATTACTATGTTTGAAGATTAAAGGAAAAAAATATGAGGTTATCATCATCTCATTGCTAGAGCTATTAATATAGGATGAATTCGTGAGTTGAATTTCTCAACTTACGACAATATTGGGTTAGCATTTTGCCAACTTATACTAACTAATCCATTGTTTGTGGGTGAGCTCACAATTGGCCAACCAACCTACTAAGGCCAGCTAAGGTTGATATCTTGTTAATTCAAACCGCAAGAATGAACTCATATTTTTAGTTCTACTTATTATTTAAGTTGATTTTTTTAATTACTTTCCTTCACTTGACAATAAAAACTTGTACACACATCATACTCTAGATAAATCAAACTCATATAGCCTTATGTTGAAGAAAAATTTAATGAAAGTGTTTAGTGTCAATGGGTCATAAAAGCTCCAATACTCAAGTTGAATTCATTTCAAATAATTTATCCTTCTTGTTTAATATACAACCCTTTTTCACCTTTTTGACCAGCACACACAACACTTAAACTGAAACTTATCCGCTGAAACACCTTTCTAATTAAATTAAGATAAGTGGATTTTTGTAAGAAAGAAATTTTGTGGGCCAGCAATCACTTATGAATATAAACGGACTATTAGTATTATTGGGCATTTTTTGCCCTCCCATTATTTACGTGTGGGATATGCTATCAAGTATAAACTGTCAAGTAATGTGTATTATAGAAAAAGACCTCAAAAAAATTATAAATAAGTGTTTCATAAAAAAAATTAATTAATCAAAACTTAAAATCCCAAATTAATCCTAAAGACCAATCCCATTCCTTTCCCTTAAACGGAGAATGAGTATTAATGAAGAAAACAACAACGGAAGAAAATGTTGCACCTTGCAAATACTTTGGGGACCCACCTTGGCCGCATTCGTCGCTCCACGTATCACGCCGTGCATTAGCCGTACATTTGGGGACTCTGTGAATTTGAGCTTTGGACTTTGAAGCCGTGAGTCTGTGGAAACTGGAAAATTCAAAATAGAAAACCAAAAAACAAAACAAAACAAAAAGAACATCAGCGTGGGGTTCGCCAAGGAGGGACAGAAGATATTGATCACGTCTTTAAAGATTGCCTTACAGCTTCCACCATTTGGAAGAAAATTTTACTTCATGATCTGTGTATTGACTTCTTTGGTCACAGTCTAGTGTTTTTGATAGAGAAAATGCTGCTCAACTCAAAACTGGACATTTCTTGAAAAATTGGGTTTTGCATTGTTTGTTGGAAGCTTTGGAAGGTTCATAATCACTGCATTTTTGCAAATGAATCCTATACTATAGAAGGAATTTTGACTCACATTAGAGCCACAGTTAACCACATTGTACAGAGCTATACTACCTTTAGACTTCTTTTGTAAATGTTCGTAACTTTCTATGCTTTGTACAGACTTTACATCAAATGAATTTCTTCGTTTCTATTAAAAAAAAACCCACAGATGCGAGTTCAACATGACAACATTAATGAATGGGAGTGCCTATTTTCTGCTTTTCCATTTTTTTGGAATAATTTAATTACAATTTTTTATGTTTTGTTAGTACTTTTTACAAAGTAAAATAAGGTATTAAATTATCTGCAATTATATAATGGTTATATAACTCGTGTAGACGGTCATTTAAAAAAAATGCACATCTAATCGTAATTGTTGAAATCTACATACCCGATCCTTAATATAAGATTTATATAACTAATTTGATTAAATTAAGAAATTTAGGTAAGTTAGTTAATTATAATAAATATGACATATTTTTCCTAAAATACCATAATCATCTTTATTAATATCTTTCCTCTATCGCTTATTTGATTATAACTGAGGGAGTATTCACAGGGATAATTTAAGAAAAATTAATAAATATGAGAAATATGTCTTATATTTAGGATCAAAATTAACTTAATAATTAAATCATAATCAGAGGAGTATATACTATTGCAGTTGCCGTCATCAATTACATCCCTC